GGCAATGCCTACACATAAACAGTGACACAGAATGATAAGGTTGTTAATTTGAATCCATAAGGATGAGACAATCCTCAATAAAACATGTTCCTTTTTCAAAGCTCTTTGTCTGAACTCTGCAGTCTGTTAAAACCTGGTTATTTCTTTCCAACAATGATCCTCTTGACAATGAGCCTCTAAAACATCCATTAAATCTGGCTTTAACTAGCAGTGCCTCTTGAGGAGACATGTCTGTGTGGTCCTTTGTCATGGAAATAATAAAGGCAATATAGCCACCCAGAACCCCCACCAATCTGTCCAGCTCTGGACAGGAAGACATTAGCTATCCAATGCAGCATGCTGCTGATCTGGCTTTCTCTCTCACCTGCTCAGATCTTCAGGAGACTCCAGCTAAATGCAAGAACCATAAAAAAGGCAATATCGCATTTAAGTGGACACTAGGAGGGAAGGAACACCAGTATTAAGAAAGGTCTCCATAAGGGGTCAGCAAGGTTGAATCTCCTCAGAACATTTTATGTATCTCATAGAATTTTATATTTTCTTGATCACATTTAATTTATGTATAAAAGTATGTGACTAATTAAAACAAAGGTCAAATATTAGACCCATTTTGAATGTAATTTAATGGGAGCAAGTAAGGTTTCAGAATAGATGCTATGTTTTTATACTGCTTCATTTCATTGGAAACTATTGTAATTTCAACTTCCCACATCTTCAGTAACTCTAGCTTGTTTATAACTAGACTCTTTTATTAATAAGCATGTTAAGGATTTAAAGAGTAATAATTAATACTACCGTAAATTATTAAAAAAAAAAAGCAAAATAAATTAAATTTGATAAACCTTGTTGATTACATGATGAGCTAAATTGTCTAAGGATGCTGATGAAGACCTTTGGATCCGACTGTCTTATTTCAATAACACAGTGCAATCAATATTAAATATAGGTGTCATCCATTTAATTTTGAACCCATAATTGTCATGGTCCTGGTCTGATTGTTCCTGTTATCCATTTGTTGTCCTCTGCTGCCCTCTTTTGTCCTCCCTTCCTCTGTTTCTCTGTCCTGCCAAGCACCTGCTGCCAATTTCCTCGTCAGCTCTCTCTATGTCTCTGTCCCCTTTAAAAGCCCTCCCTGTTCAGTTCCTGTTTGCTGGATCCTCGTCAAACATCCTGTCTAACTTCTGTCTGTGTTCCTCGTCTCTCCCTGGCTTCTGGTTTGGTTAATCCCTGATGTCTCCTTGGTTCTGGTACGTTTGTAATTTTCAGTTGGACTCTGATTCCTGCTTCTGGACCTGAATAAACAGACTTTAATTCACCTCTGCCTACTGGTCTCTGCGTCTGGGTCCTCCACACAAACAGTGACTCATGACAATAATAACAAATACAAAGAAAGGGTGTTCTGTCAATATCGTCCAAGAAAATAAATACGTATACATTAAATCTGCTTCAATTATGAACCCATAACCTCCTGGTCTCCATTCCTCGCTGAGGCATCAATGGCAATGATGACTTGTTATTAAGCCAGAGCTTATTACTACTGAATAGGGATTTGTTTAAAAGCAGATCTCTTGATTATGTCTTCATGCAATTTAGATTTAGCTCATAGACTAATGGGCTTTAACAGTGAGTCCAGTTAGGCTTGACAGTTTGCCTTTTGCCTTCAAAGATTTTTATTTACATGGTAGGTCTTTATCACACAATTTCAAAGACAAATAGATTAGAAAATCCCTTTATTGTCCCACAATGGGGAAATCTCTCTTTGAATATGATAATATGAATGCTTTTCATCTTCCTATGTGTATTTTGCATTAATTATTTGCATTAATTTAAGGTTATGTAAAAACATGGCAGCAGATTTTACACCTTTAATATCTTTAAGAGCTGCAGCTTAAAATTAATGAGCGGACGACAGACTCTGGGATAAAACAGGAAAGAGGGGAGTGTTATGAACAACTGATCCATTAATAAATGAAAGGGAAGCAAATATGCTGGCCTTGACAGAGCTGCTCACAGGGAGCTATGCCAGTGCATGACTTTATGAATGGAAAAGGGTGCAAAATAACTTGAACACTAGAGGGCAGCAGCGAGTTTATGCAAAAGACACCTCTGAGCAATAACAGCATTTTCAAAAGGTTTAAAGTCAGCACAGCCTGGTAGGACATTTAAATACACACAGGAAACCCTGAAAATACAGAGTAGTCACATAGTGGCTGAATTTACACTCTCCAAGCCACAGAAACAACAGCAGATCTGCATCATCCCATCCTGTAAATAGGCTCTGGGTGCTTCCCTCTTCCTCCTCCTGCTGCTCTTGCTGCATTATGGCTTAACCCTTTGTTAAAGGTGTACGCAACATGCAAGCCAACTGGGCCGTCCAGCTGGGTATGTGAGCTGCCGCTTCTCTTCACCACCTCTTCCCTAATCCCTCAGATAACTACTGACTTACCTTGTCAGTACTTAAAGGTGTCATGTCCAACTCGTTTTATGTTTCCTGCTTGACTTTTCTTAAACATCTTCTGTCATTCAGCTGCTTAAGCCACTGGGTTGCTGCATTTTCTGTAACCATTTGACCAAGATATTTTAGAGCCCTTCATGCTTCATGGAGGTGATTTCATTTCCAGCAGGGCTTAAAACCTTCAGACAATGTCAAGTGTACCAAATAGAAGATTAGAGATCAGACCCTACAGTGCAGATGACCTGATAATTAGACTACAGTATCATTTATATATATATATATATATATATATATATATATATATATATATATATATATATATATATATATATATATATATATATATATAACAATAGACTGTACAGTACATTTTAAGTTTACCTGAAAGTTTTGCCTTGTTGGATACATTTTGAATAAGACGCTTCTAATGCTAGTTGCTGCTCACCAGATAAAGCTGGGCTGGGATAGAAATATGCACAAGAATGTGCCCCCTGGTTAGAAAAACAACTCAAAACCTCAGCCCACACCTATTGGGTAACTGTGCTGAATGGAAATCTATTTGTGGCTTTTGTGGGAGCCGAATCTCCCCCTCCACCTCCTCAGCAATTGGAATATCAGTATTCTCAACAGGACATCATATGTACAGTAGGCTAAGAGCAGTGGTTTTTAACCTTTATAATTCTTTATAGTTTTTTGACAAGGGAATCAGCAATTGGAAATGGATAGAAGAGGAATAAGTAATAGATCCCTTATTGCTCCTGGTGTACCAACTTCAAATGTGCCCCATTTTATCATTTAAAACGCTACTCACGCTGTGCTACAGTAAGCACTGGATGCTGAGAGGAAATGACAGAGAGATGGGAGAACAACACTGCAGGGTTACTTTCATGCTTGCCAATCTTTGTTTGCACTGCTGAATAAAACTGACAATATAAAATGACTGATATTGGGGTTCTCAAAATTATACTACAGTCTTGCCATTTGACTAAAACTGCTTCTCCTATCATTTATTTTTTGCTTGTAATTTCTAAAGAATTCTTAGACTCTAACTTAAGATTCCTCCTGCATGTGTTAGAACTACAAACACTATCCTAAATATGTGAGTTCAAATGAATTAGCTTTCAAATATCTGTTGACATTTCAAACAGACAAACCAGCATGTTGCCCTTATGAAACGGGGCATAAGGAAACTGATATTTAACACTTTTCTACAGCACCATGGACTTTTCTAGGTCCTTATCTCTTGCTTATTCATAGACAAGATATCCTTGAAAGCTACCCAGGTAGCAATGCCACCTTAGCACATAACAACATACCTTCAGTGACATTGTCGTAAGCTCCATTTGGATCGCAAAAAAATATGTGGACCAAACAATCAAACTCCCTTAAGTTCTTTAGCAATACTGCAAAAGTAATAATCTTTATAAGTATATAAGAAATACAAGCATCCTACACATCTCCAGAGAGCTCCCTCTTCTAACACAGCCCTCAGAAAAGATTTGGTTTACATTCAGTACCTATACAGTGTGAACATTATTTTGCTGAGGCCTTCTGCATATAAGGATGTTTTATTTTTATTCCCACTGGTTTTAGTTCAGTGACTGCCTGTAGCCGCAGCCCAAATATAAGAAAAATTAGATATCAATGCTGGACTGGATACAGCTCAGGACATGACTGCAATATTCAGTTCACTGCCATTGTTCACAGGGGTCAGGGTTAACATAGCCAAGGGTGATGAGGGGTGCTTCATCAGCACCCCAGGGATGAGGAGGAGGATAGAAAGGTGGACAGAGGGGGGGAAGTCAAGAAAAAGTAGGTCAGTGAGAAAATGTGATTAGCCACAAATACAAACCGCAAACTCATCCCATGTCCAGAGACACTGGCCTCCTGTATCTTTAACCCAGCATGCGTCCAAGCAACGTCACGCTCAGAGTCACACTTACTGGACAGGTTGGCAGGCATGCACAAATACAGACAGAGAGAAACGGCTTGTTCCCCTTGCTTCCTTACATGGTGTTAGAGCGATCCCTCTTGCCATTGCAGTCCCTTTGCCTGGGGTTGCTACGCACAGCCAATATTTCACAAACACAGCAAAACAGTCACCCTGATGTCCCACTGTGCTTCCATCCTGGACAGCAGTGTCATTGCCTGGCTTAGATCTAGGTTCTGACTTACAGAGCCCTACACAATTCAGTAAGGCTGCAATGTTCTGAGATCATTTACAGAACTCTTATAAAGGATTCATACCTGAAACAGCTGTACCTGTAAACAAGTCTTTTCCCATATTTATTTCTGATGAAATTTTAGTCTCGTCTCAAATGTTTAGCTTCTCAAGCAAGGGAAGACAAACTAAACCCTAAATAATTTAAAATGATGTATTGTATTTGCAAAACTAATATTAAAAAGTTTAACAGCTGTTAATCACCATTTTTGCTTGGCAAATCTACTAATCACTAAACAAGACCCAACAAAAGGTCAACAAAACGAGGGAGTAGGTTGAACAAGATGTAGCAGGTGTGAATAGTTTGGACATATTTGTCCTGACCTGAGGGTTTCCAGCTGCCTCGGACTCCGGAGCATTTCTTGGGGGTCTTGAGGACACCTGCTGGCTCACTGAAGGGAAATTACTCTTGAGAGGCACAGAAGACAGAGGTAAAGCTGATGGTCTGGTTGGGGCCTGGGGGATGGGAAGGGCACTGTGAACTGGTTTGGGGAGTCCTGACTTCATCTTTGAGGCCACCAGAATGGCTGGCATCTTCTCCTCCAGTCCAGAAAACGAGCAAACCCCACTCCCCCACCCCTATCAGCGAGAAAGAGATCCTGCCAATTGTCAGATAAAAATTCTCGTTGTAGCCAGTATGAAAAAAGCCCACCGTGAGGCTGCACCTGATCGATGTCTTGACTGAGGTGCAAATTATCCAGATCTTGGCTGCTTTTGTTGGATCTCTGCCGAGAAGTACGACAACCTTGCCAACATGCAGTGCAGTGTTTAAACCTTAAATGTCCACCTGTTTCCCATTATCAAGCAGCTTAAGCTCTCATAACATAGTAAATGTCCAAGGCTTTCTGGAAAATACCATGAATTTGACAGGATGCCAGCAAGCAAATCCTAATTCCCACCTTGAGGAATTCCCAGTTGCCTAGAAGCGATACAAGAGATTCCCCCCACAAACCTCCAGCTCAGATTAAGAGTCAACATTCAGCCAAAGAATCCCATCAGAAGGCGAGCAGTCCCTTATCATCCATGCCTTGTGAATAATGTCTTTGCCTCTGGACAACAGAAGGGAGGACGTGTTTTGTTAAGAAGAACAGAGCAGAAACAGATGGAGGAAAAAGGAGCAGCGATGCAGCGACTGCTTGCTTCAGCGACTGCTCCGCTTGTGACAGCACAGCCTGAAAACACCCCACACTCTACTCCACTGCACTCTCTCCCTCTCTGCCCAGCAGCAGGTGTGGCTTAGATCAGACTGACATATGTGAAGACAGGCTCAACACATACTGGTGGCATCCAGCCTGCCGCTCGCTTATCCTGTTTTTCTTAACTACTCTTTGAAATATTCCCATTTGTAAAGCATTTAATTCTAAATCAGAGTTTGAAAACTACCACTACCATTTACCAATTGGTCACTGGGGATCTGGAAGTTATGGTAAAAAAGGCAGTGGGATAAGTTGCTTTCAAGAATCCAATTCCTTGTATAAATCTTTCTTTCAATAATTTGGTTTAAAGCAAAGATATAAAACATTATATAAAAACAAAGTCACAAAATAGTTTGATCTTAGGTCTAATGTCCTCTAACAAATAATAACATTAACACAAGCATAAAAAAAAAACAATTGGGATAGCTGTATTGAAATATGATAGCCTGAAATTGGCAGAAATAATTTTCTGTAGTTCCATCCTGTTTTTACATCATTAGAATTTGTCTTTTCCATATGAGGATGGCCAATTAAAGAAACAGTGTTGGACCAGCCTTATTCCCAGCAGGGCATGAAAGGCTGTAAAGTTTTGACTCAAATCTTAATGCAGTGCTTGAGGAAAAAGCTAAGGAAATTGTGGACAAAAAATTTAAGAAATAATCTTAACTCTCAACAGAATACCTGCAAAATGCAGGAAAGAAAATATCAGCATATTTGGTGTCAAATGCATGAGGTAGAAGAAAAAACAGATGGAATTTCATTCTACTTGCACATAGTAGAGAGCCAAGATATACAGATGTGGGCCATAAAAGCTAAAAATATAACTATTCAGAGTTCTTAAAACAGAATTCATAGAAAAATTCAGAGGAAAAATAGATTGTGCATTATGCAAAATAATGGTTCTTCATTGTTTAAGAGGATGTAGTGTTACAGAAATTTGGTGAGAGTTTCATTAAATGTTTCACCAGTGCTAGATAGACATGGCAGTTGATGAGTTTGTTATAAGATGGCAAAGAGATTGCAAACTGCAGTGTTGAGTAAATGCAACTTATGTCTGCAATATTTCATTCTTCCTTTTACTTAAATATTTCACACTGGCGACCTTTCCAGAGTATATACCACCTTTCTCACCAATAGACTGCTGGAGATAAAACCAACAGTCTAGTAGCATGCCCCGGTGACCCTGATGGATAAGTGGTAGAAAATAGATGAATATTTTATTAGTTGACAAAGCAATTTTTTAGTTGCTTATTGAAACGTGTCATCAATGACATGGAGTAAATAATTAATTACATATATTTTTCTTGAGTTTGGAGAGCAAACCTGTCCTGGCACATGCAAGTAACATCTACTCAATATGGTATCTATGAAAAAGCATGTGAGGAAATAATAAAAAAAAGCAAGAAAAAAAGATTCCTAAAAGTAAAATCGATGAGAAAAAATGTGGTCCTTTTCGTTCAACACCTGACTGCCACACCAGAGTAGCTAAATGAGGACCAATGTTTATCTCACTGGAGAGATAAACATTGATTTTGTCTGATGCAAGAGAACTGCAGCGAAGAGCGATATTGTGGGATAATAAGTTCTCTACAGAGAACAGACACTATCAGCATCATGAACAATTGCTTGGCCAGAATAAAAGCCTTTCTTCACAAATGTAAAAATCTGTAGTTTAACTTTTTTGGGACTTTATCTGCGAATATGTACTTAGGATAGAACAGATAAATTGAGCATGACACAAGGTTTCACATCCTGATAGCTTTTTGTATCTAGACAAGATGCTCAAACTATTGAGAGAGCTCACAGCAATAAGAGGTTTCAAGCTAAAAGAAATATACATGTTTATATATAGAAAATGCATTTTAAAGAGGTCATCAACGGGAAAGCTGACCTTTTAATGTTAAAATGTGAGTGTTGGTGTTAGGTTGCAATCAATGCCTGCTGGAAAAAACAGGATCCGACAGTTGATGTTGTTTATTTTATAACTTTTTGACTTTTTGTGTAGGAGGCTGGGAAACAGTGGTAAATGAGCCATGACAAACAGCTAATGCTGCCCACTCTACTGCACATCCATATGAATCTATAAAACACACAGGTCCAATTCTCCTGGGTAAAATCATGAAGAAACAAATGGGGGTATGAATGAGTTCTACTAACATTATTTTTAACATTACTTTAAATCCAGTCTCAGAAGATTTTATAAGTAAAATATAAAGTCAAATAAATATATAAAGTTTTTTTACATTTGAAAAGTCACTCTTATATACGTTGTTTAAGTTTTTGTTACTTTGCCTATTTAGTTCTGAAAATGAATTTTTGTTTTCAGGTGCTTGTTTAAAAAAAAAAAAAAAAAAAAAAAAAAAAAAAATATATATATATATATATATATATATATATATATATATATATATATATATATATATATATATATATATATATATATATAAAAAAATATATATATATATATAAAAATATATATATATGCGTTTTTTTTTTTTTTTTAATAAACCTTATGTCCCTTATTTGACTTTATTGAAAACCACTGTAAGATCTGCCTCCAATCACAAAACCTTGGACAAACCTGTTTTTTTCCCCTTCAACTTCATTCTACTGGCACAGCTAAAACCTTTCCAGTAATTTACTCTACAATCACTGTTTACTTGTAATGACAGAGGAGCCATTGAAAACTCAGCTACTGCTTACAAGAGACAATCAAAACCAAACAAATTAGCAGAAATCACCAGCATCAGAGCCAGTAGAAAGTGTAAACCAAGTCTGTTTCTTGTTATTTACGTTTTAAAATAAAGAGATCATTTTGATTCATCTAACTGTAGCTGTTAGATGAAACACCTTTAAGCACTTACTCTCACTACAGACTTCATGGGAGCAGGATGAATCCAGGGGAGGCCTGTTTAGTATGCTAAGCTTAATCCTGTTATATTAATCCCAAATTATGCTAAAGCAAATATCTGATTATGGTTAAGTGCTATATTGGGCCTATGAGTGTATGTGTTTACTGTGTGTATTTAGATTTTATTTAGGAGTTAAAGGGCTGCATAATTCAACCAATCCGTCCTGTCCTCGCCAAACCAATAACCTAAAACCTATATATATAAAAAAAAAGAGTGAACTCTTCTCAAGATCATGTTTTGATGTTTATGTTTAGAATGAAGCCTTACATTTTTCAGTGTGTAACCACAAACTATAGGTATTTCTAGTGAGACTAATGATTACATGCACCCTCTGAGCAAATCTGCTACAATATACTTTGCCTAACTTTGTTTACTACTCTGCAAGAGGCCCATGCTGTATATAACCATAGATCATGACCACTGGAGATGATTAACAAGCAACAAGGCCTCCCTGATTCAAAGCACCCATATCGTGACAGCAATCCACAGTTCTTTCAAACATATAGGAAAATACATTAACTCCACCCTGGCTGCCTCAAATGTCATTCTCTCATTTGGAAAATGGAAAAGAGAAAAATCATACGTAGCATAACAAGGGAAATTTCCATTATTTTCCTTCCCCCTGTGATGATAAACATATGTCAGACCCACGTGGATCACAGAGCTCCACTTCACAGAGTCAAGGGGAAAAAAAGCAGTCAAATGTGATTTATGCTGCAACCTTTGAAGATACCTGATGAGAGTCCGGTGGTGTCTAATAATAGAGCCTGTTTGGCAGTAAATGGGCGGTATTGACAGTAATAAGTAGGACACCCACCACTGTGCTCTGCTGTATGTTTATACTGTATTTCTTCCCAGAATAATAAACATTCATGTGGGGTAGATGGTGGGTGTTTGAGTGAACTGAAGTCAGATTCACGTCAACCGAGATTATATAGGAAACCTATAGGGGGCATTCTTAAATATGCATATCTGGGAGTGTAGCCTTATTTTACATCTCCACCAGCCCTGCAGTGTTCTGAGACCTGCCAAATGCATCGTGGTTACAAAATGCCAGGAGATGTGGCATGTAAAGATAAAACACTGTATACCAAAACTTCACATGCAACATATGGAAACACATAGAACAACTACCGGTACTAGTAATATAACCACCACTGTTCAGTTTGTTAAAGTTTAATTTTCCTTAGAGGGGTAACATCAAGTCAAAATGTTGAAAATTTAGGCTTGGTCCAAATCATCACAGAGAGATTTATGCTTATATTATCTTTCAAACTGATTTTTTCTTTTTTTTTTTTTTTTTTTACTATATTCAATCTTGAAGAGACTCTGAAAAAGCTGTTCAACATTGTATGTATTTTTAAGATTCTACACATAATAGATTAAATTTGATCGTTTCCCAGCATTTGATTAACTTTGAGATACAGATAAATCAGCCTGTGGGCTGAAAGAGCTAATAATAAAGTTTGCTATTATTATTAATATAAAGGAGAATGATAATCATTGCAAGATAAAATATGAGATCCTTTCCATTAGGATAATGTTTGCACAGAAAGTTGCCTTCTTCTCTCCCTACAATAAAAACGCTTTTATTTCCTACTAAACAGAAATGGCTACTACAATGCTTTTTACAATACCGTGATAACATCTGGTAAAGATGCAATTTTTAAAAAAACAAGAGAAGAAAGAAAGGGCAATATTGGCTTAAGATCCCAGAAGGGTTGTAAGCAAGCCTTTCTAGTCTATAGCTGTTTAACTAAACATTGTCTTTCATACTGGGAAATGCTGGCATGTTAGTGTTATATATTACATAATCAACCTCTTTAAGTCAAAATTGGGGGGGTCTCTGTCTTTGTAAAGCATTTGTGTTTTTTATTTGAGAAAAAAAGTGGTGAATAAATACTTCCTCATTTGTAAAATGTATGGACAATAGCAAAGCATCTCATGGTGTAACAGTGAAGATTTTTATTTTAATTATGCGTTATTTTTCCTATAAAGCCATTCATATTTATTTTTCATCCAAAGGTACACATTTATATTCAGCTGCTGGATTAGGAA